AGGTGAATTCGGAGGGTGATTGGGTAGAGGTGTCAGCTTCGTGTGTGATCACCTGTCCATAAGAGCTGATGGAAATGATACTGTGACCGTCTTGGGTGAGTGGTAAGTCGGTAGGAGTGGAGGCGATTTCCACGTCTCTCGGTTCTGTGACTTGAATGTGTGGAATCATATAGGCAGGAACAGAGGGTAGGTCCATGCTACGTTGTGATGGCGTGTAGGCCCTAGAAGGTGGAGAGAGTAGAGAATTTGCTTGAGCAGCCGAGCGTTGGTCGTGCTGCTGTTGCGAAGGCGCGGGTTGCGAGGCTTGCGTGTCGTATCCGGACCCGCTGTATACGAACGAACCAGAAGGTCGCATCGCATAAGAAGACGCTTCATCTCCATAGTCGCCCACGTAGAGGTGTCGCGAGGACACGATAGACCGTGCAGGACCCGCAGGCCAGGTTCGAATCGTGGAAGCAAAGTCTTCAACGTCTTCTGTCTGCCATGATAGTCGGGATTGGTTCGCTGCGACGGCTGCGGCAGCGTTATCTAGCGGACGCTGCCATGCGGACGAAATGGAGCCAAGGCAGAGTTCTTGTCCGGCCACTTCTAGCAGCGGTTCATGCATTGTTGCGCTTGAGAAGCGAACTGGTGGCGGGGGCATTGGCATTGCAATCACAAATGCGACTTCTGCCTGCACGATTTCCACGGTCTCTTGCGGTACCGAAGAAGGACGGCTAGGCCGGTTCGTGCGCGAATGAGAGGTGGCACCGTGCTTTTCTTCTGTCTGCCGATTAGGCTGGTTGGACCGGAGCCATTGTATCGTCTTTAACCGTTCTTTGAAGCCAGACGTGAAAAAGGCCGGGGTGCTGAAGAGCTGCAGGATCAGGTTGTGATTGTGCGTCTTTGCTGGAGGCGCAACAGTCATAGATAACGGCTGTTAAAAAGTGTTAGTATTTGCAAATTGAACGTGGGACTAGGAAAACGCAAGCGACTTACCAATGCCTCATCCCATCTCGGTTCGTGCCAAGACCTTGTAGCGGGGCCCAAATCTAGTCGAGCCTCCATCATAACAGGCTGAGGTTGTGTGATAGCATTCTTCTTGTTGTCCAGTGGAGGAGTTTCGGGCACGTCAAATACGGGTATGGCCCAGCCACCGTCGATTGCTCGAGCAAAGCGTTGCCGATAGAACCGCCGTCGCAGGCAGGCGCGAAGGACAATGATACTGATGCTAAGGCCAATAATGGTCCCAACAGCTATGGAGAGGATATAAAAAGGCTGGAGCAGGGTGTTCCAACCCTGATTCGAATTCCTCACTCGACCTGGGTCAATAGACATTGTGGACGATTAGAATCGTATGCGAGAATAAGCAGTTTGATACGAGTTCCTTAGTGATAGAGGTGTTGTAATGGTACAGGCTGAGGTATAAAAGCGAGATAATCAGCGTTATGCAAGCGTGATTTTATATCGTCCTTATGACGCCGTTGAAAAAAAAGAGGGCGGTGTTGGAATAGACTTTGTACACCGACGGACGAAAATATCAAGCTTTAAGGAGATCCAGAGCGAGCATGGTAGGCAAAAAGCGAGGCGAAATAGATGCTTGCTTTATGCCATGCTGATTAGGGGGCGGAAGACGGTGGCTCTGATTGGTCCGTTGCCTCCTCATGCCATCCACGCCTACAACGCGTCTCAATTCACAGCGCAAGCAGGGTCCACTTCATCACAGCTTACAATGGGATTGTTGGTGGAAGTTGGAGGGACGCTAAAAAAACTAATTGCCGCATTTGGGGGA